CTGCGATTAGATGCCTTGCCCAGAGCCTCGTGGACACGGGAACCTCTGGGTGGGACCACCATGGCGACGGCCAGATTTTGGTCCCGCGCAGGACACCACACCCGTACTCCCGTGGGCACGGGGACGTGTGGGCGGGATCCTGTCGGTGACGGCCATGCCCACCACTTGACACGACGGCTGGGAGAGGCGCAGAGAGGGAGGAGGAGAACGAATGCTCGGAGGAGAGCAACCGTTCAGGCTGTCTGGCGGGAGAAAGTGCTCGGAGGAGGAGGGTCCAGGGTGGAGGGACGAGGGAGGAGGCGGATCTGTATAAGTGTTCGACTCCCACTGCCGCTCCAGACGACTTCTCCCGCTTCGACGTGCTCGTCGCCATGAGCGAGAGGGCGAGGGAGCACATCGTCGGGTCGGACCCGACCGGCGCGTATGCCCACAAGGCGGACTCCTTGGGCCAGAAGCGAGGAGGATGAGATGTAGGAGGGGGAGGGGGAAACGGGGATGAGCAGGGGAGGGGGAGGAGGAGGAGGATGAGGAGGATGAGGAGGAGGAGGTGGAGGAAGAGGATGATGAGGATGAGGATGAGGATGAGGAGGAGGAGGACGAGGGCGAAGCATCTGGGATGGCAATGACGATGACGATGACGATGACGATGGTGATAATGATAATGATGCTGATGATGATAATGCTGATGCTGATGCTGCTGATGATGCTGCTGATGCTGATGATGATGCTGATGATGCTGATGATGCTGATGATGTTGCTGATGCTGATGATGATGACGGTGATGATGACGGTGATGATGATGGTGATGTTGGTGGTGCTGCTGCTGATGATGATGTGGATGATGCTCATGCTGATGACGATGCTGATGATGCTGCTGATGATGATGATGATCGTGATGCTGATGCTGATGCTGCTGCTGATGATGATGACTATGACGATGATTATGAGGATGACCATGATGATGCTGATGATAATGATGATGCTGATGCTGATGATGACGATGATGACGATGATGGTGGTGATGATGATGTTGATTATGATGATGATGATGATGATGATGATGATGATGATGATGACTATGATGATGATGATGATGATGATGCTGATGCTGATGCTGATGCTGATGCTGATGCTGATGCTGATGCTGATGCTGATGCTGATGCTGCTGATGCTGCTGATTATGATGATGATGATGATGATGATGATGATGATGATGATGATGATGATGATGATGATGATGATGATGATGTGATGGTGATGATGATGATGATGATGATGATGATGATGATGATGATGATGATGATGATGATGATGATGATGATGATGATGATGATGATGATGATGAGTCTACAGGCTTGCGCCACATCCGCCGACCCCTTGATTCCTGCGGGAATGAGTATCCTTCAGGTCTGCTATCCAGTGGCCTTCGGCCTATGCCGCCACCGTGCCTGGGTTGTGGGTCAGAGACCTCATGTGTGTTGGTTTGGATTTTGTGGTTGGCCTTTCGGGGCGGGGGCCTCTGGGAGGCTGTTTTCAGGCGTCTTGGGGCTGTTTCGGGGCCTCTTCGGGCCTTCTCGGGCCTCTTGTGGGTGTCTTGGGGGCCTCTTGGAGCGTCTTGGGGGGAAGCCCCTTGGGGCCTCTTTAGGCCGTCTTGGGGCCTCCCGGGAGCGTCTTGGGGCGGAAAGTGGATTTTTCAGTCCTGGTTCCCCTCTTGGGCCTCCCTTGGGCCCGTCTTGGGAGCCTCTTGGGCGGCTCTTGGGCGGCTCTTGGGCCGTCTTGGGGCCCCTTTGGGCCGTCTTGGGTGCCTCTTGGGCCGTCTTGGAGCGCCGGTCTTCGGGCCCTCTTGGGCGGTTTTGGAGCGTCGGAGAGCCGTAAGGGCGAGAACCCCAACAACCTTTAGGAAACCAATGACAATCATAGATTTTGGCCTCTTGGGGCCTCTTGGGAGGCCTCCTGGAGGCCTCGTAGGGCGATTTGGCGGCCTGTAGGGCCGCCTTGGGACCATCTTGGGCGTCTTGGGGCGATCTCTGGGCCCTCTTGGACCGTCTGGGAGGCGACTTAGTCGCCTCTTGGCTTGTTTTGGGGTCCTCAAGAATCGCGCTCTAGCCTGACGTCTCCAGAAATCATACATGAACCAGGCTCTCGCCAATCAGAAACCACGCGTCCGCCTGCGACTTCTTTCAATCCCATCTAGGACTCGCGCTGTTACCGCCCGCCCAGCCCAGCCTGTTCGGGTCCGCCCGCCCGCCTCCCCTGTTAGGGTCCGCCCGCCTGCCCCGCCCGTGTGGGCTCGCTCCCAACAGGTCCGCCCGTTCGTTCGGCGCGACTCCCGCCCTTGCGTTTGGGCAGGCCGCCCGCCGGATCATCCCCGAGAGGAGGTCCGCCCGCCAGGCCCAGTCACCCTGACGTTGAGGCGGGCCTGTCCCTCTACAGGAGGAATATTAAAGAACATGTCCAAAATAGTCTGGGGACCAGGTGTCGAGGATTTTTGGACCTTCCTGATTTTCTTTAAGAGTAATGTTTTTATGCTTCGTCCAAAGATCTGTCTGTAGGGGGGACGTGCCCGACCCAACCCCAACGTCCCGCTCGCCCGACCCGCCCGGCAGGCTCCGCCCCGTCCCCTGCCTGGGAGCACGCCCTCCCGCTGCCGTGCCCCGCCTCCGCCCGCCCCGCCTGCGGGGGGGCCCCGCCCTGCGGGGGCCCCGCCCGGGAGGCCTCGCCCGCACAGCTCGCTCGTTATCGCAGGCCTAGAGGTTGACACCAACACCAATATCGGCGGTGTTCCTCCACCGAGGGAAGAAGTTCCCGATCTCGGTGAAGTTCCAAGGTGACCCAAATATTACCACCAACACCGAAATCTAGGATCATCTCTTCCCTGTGGAGGCAGCCCCCTGTCTTGGTGTTGGTGCCCATTTTCAGGCCTCCAACGTTAGGGCCCACTGGGCGGCATCGACGAGGATCGAGTCGTGCGAGGTCACGAGGCGAGGCGACGACGCGCGACCCCGAGCGCACCCCGCTGCAGGCGCGGGGTCTCGGGAGGGGAGCTGCGCGTCGCGACTGTCTTTTGCCCTGTATCGGGGAAGCGTAGGACTCGAGGGCGCCGGAGCTCGGGTCTGCCGACTTTTTTTTTTGACGAGCGCGTCCTGGATTTTGACGGTCCCGTTTTCGTGGGATGTCTGCAGTTGGAACCCGCGTGAAGTTTCAGATCGGGGCTCGTCATTTTTATGATGGTCCCCGTCAGGCCAACCCGAGTCCCCCGTACCCGAGTCTTACGTCTCCCCGAGTGTAGGTTTGGCCCCCGGCGTTTTGTTGCTTTCTTCTTGTGTGCTGCGGTGTGCTGGCCCAATTCCGTTTCGGGTCCGCCCGCCCGATCCGCATGTCACCCTGTCAGGGTGTACGCAGTAGCTGGCATAGCAGACTTGCCCCCCAGGAGGGGGTACGCTCATAGGCGAATAGGGCGGGTGTCGACGGTACGGGGTATGCATGATGAGTGACACGCGAACAATTCATAAGTATCTGCCTTGAAGATGGGGGCGGTGATGTTTATGATACTGATGATGATGCGGACGACGACGATGACGATTCCGATGATGGTGATAATGGTGATGCAGATGTTGATGATGATGATGCTGATGGTGGTGATGATGATTATGCTGCTGCTGCTGCTAATGACGATGATGATGATGATGATGATGATGATGATGATGATGATGATGATGATGATGGTGATGCTGATGATGACTATGTTGAATATGCTGCTGGTGACGGCGATGATGGTGATGATGATGCAGATGGTGGTAACCATTCTGATGTTGATCATGCCGATGATGATGATGACGACGATGAAGAGGATGATGGCGATGATGATGATTATGATTTATGGTCGCACGGCTGTCGAAAGACAATCAACGTCTTTGTGGGCACCGGCGGGGAGCCGACCACGCCGGCGTGCAGCACCAGCTTTGACCTCGCTCGCAGTAGACTGCTGCGAGTGTTGCTGCACCCCGCCGCGTACCGCAGCGCCTGTGAGTGTGACAGGAGCGACTCGTCCCAGGCACTACGGGCCCGAGGAGGAACGAACACGACATGTCGTGGACGGTTCTCGTGATAATGATGAGGGTGATGAAGGTGATGACGATGACGGTGGTGATGCTTCTGATGGTGATAATGATGCGGTTGATGGAAATCATGACGTTGACGATGACGATGACGATGATGATGATGATGCTGTTCGGGATGATGGTGATGATGATGATGATGATGATGATGATGAAACTGACAGTCGTGACGATGATGACGATGATGGTGATGATGGTGATGACGATGATGATATCGGTGATTATGATTATGATGGTTATGCTTCTGGTGATGGTGATGACGGTGGTGACCATACTGATGATTGTGATAACGATGAGGTTTGAGGTGATGGTGGTGATAATAATGATCACGCGTAGGACGAAAATGGGAGGAGGAGGGGGGAGGAGGAACAGGAGGAAGACGAAGAGGAGGAGGAGGAGGAGGAGGAGGAGGAGGAGGAGGAGGAGGAGGAGGAGGAGGAAAAAACAAGGGGACCGCCGATCAGGTGAGGAGTGGGTTTCTCTTTTGACATTGGCCCCTGCAGGCGAACATTGGCCCGGTCCGGTCTGGCGCCTCGTCTTTCTGGAGCGGGCGCCATCTTTCAGGGCCAGGTCCAGGGACGCCCTGGCTTCCTAAAACGACGCGAAGATCGGGACAAAATTGGATCGGGATAACTCGAAATCTCTGAGAATCGGCGGGTTTGGAGGATGTATTGGTCGCCGCGGCCGCTCCAGAGCGTTCCGGAACGCTCTGAGAGCGCTCTGGCACGCTCTGGAGCGATTCATCCTGATCCTAGCCCTGTTTTAGACGCCCCAGCTTCTGGTTCTACGCGGAGGCGGAGGCGTCGGAGGCGGAGGCGGAGGCGCAGGACGCGCAGGCGGAGGCGGAGGAGGAGGAGTCGAGCGCCGTAGGGCCCGAGGTACTGGGTAGCAGATGACAGCAGGAGGAGGAGCAGGATGAACGGGGGGAGCAGGAGGAGGAGGAGGAGCAGGAGGAGGAGGAGGAGGAGGAGGAGGAAGGACGAAAAATAATAGTTATAAACGCAAGAATCGACATGATTATTAAATGGGTACGAGAAACAATAGTGCGATCTTCGCAATGGTCAGAAGACGAATCATAATACCAATGCAAGATAATAATATGTACACCAAACATAATAGAAAACACATGATAATTATATTACTATTACGAGTAATCGCACTACTAATGATATTAGTAGCAAGACACACAATACGAATACTACCACGAACAATAGATCATACTTATGATAGCAGTCGTAGAGTAGTCCTATTCATTTTGATAATACGAAAGAGACTCAACGCAGTAATTTAAATAAGATGAATATTAATAATGGGATTAAGAGCAATCATACTAGTATTACTAAGACACACAAGACTACGAATGCCACGAACAATAGGGACAATCCAAATAACAGGCATCATCATACTTATGATAGCAGTCGTAGGGTAGTCTTATTCATTTTGACAATACGAAGGAGACTACACGCAGCAATGTAAGTAATATGAATGATATTCACACTCGTACGAATGATACTAATGCTAATACGACGCAAGATAATACAACTAATACGGATCATCAAACTAATACGAATAGGAAGACGAGTCGTAATACTAATGATAATACTATTAGCAATATGAATAATAAAGATAATATTCGTCATGCGAAGAAAAATTCTACTAGTAGTAAGAATAAGACAAGCGTGATGATGATGGTGATGATGATGAGGAGGAAGAAGAAGAGGAGGAGGAGGAGGAGCGGAAGAGGAGGAGGAGGATAGGGAGGAGGAGGATGAGGAGGAGGAGGAGGAGAAGGAGGATGAGGACGAACAGGAGGAGGACGAGGAGGAGGACGAGGATGAGGATGGGGATGATGATGAGGAGGAGGATCAGGAGGAGGAGGATGAGGAAGAGGAGGAGAAGTCGAAGGCTCGGAGGATGAGGAGGATGGTGAAGGTGAGGAGGAGGAAGAGGAGGAGGACAAGCTAGGTGCGCTCGCGTCATATCTGACATCCTACCCCTCCCTCTCATCCCTTACCATGGCGTAGATCCCCTCTCTACTCGCACAGTCGGATGTCGAGCAGGGTAATGATCCCGAGAGGGTACGCGATGCATTGTAGAGCACAGCATGGCATGGCGTAGAAGAGCACCGCAAAGCGTAGTATGTCACAGCATGGCGTGGCGTGACGTAGTGAAGAATTGCATCACAAAGCTTTGCAACGCAAAGCATGGCATCGCACAGCGGACTCGAACATAACATTGCATAGCATGGCGTTGAAGATCAAAGCGTAGCATGGCATAGCACGACGTGGCACTAAGCACTGCATTTCACAGCTTCAGCTGAAGGCATGGCATCGCGCAGCGGAACGCAACCTAGCATTGCATTGCATGCCGTGGCATGGCACGGGAAAGGACGCCAGCGCTGCAGCGGGAGCACGATTCGGAACGAGCGGAAGCGCGGAAATGAGGCCAGCGCTGCAGCGGGAGCACGATTCGGAACGAGCGGACGCACGGAAATGAGGCCAGCGCTGCAGCGGGAGCACGATTCGGAACGAGCGGGGCCCGAACATGAGGCCGGCGCCTCAGCCAGAGAAGCATTTTGGGAAAAAATGCAGGCGAAAACCCAACTCCGGGGAATCCTGTGTGTAAAAAGAAAAACAGTACGCGGGGGGGGGCGAACACTCCCAACCCGTCATCAGGGTAAGGAGGAGAGTAGTATTCATATTGAGTTATTGTGGAGGGGAAGGAGGAGGAGTAGGACGACAAGGAGGAATAGGAAAAGGAAGAGGAGTCGTTGGAGGAGGCAGAGGAGGGGGAGGATGAGGAAGAGGAGGAAAAGGGGGAGGATACTGATGACGAGGCTGCTGCTGATGATGCTGATGAGGATAATGGCGATGCTGATGCTGATGTGGATGATGATGATGATGCTGATGATTATGATGATGCTGATGATGATGCTGATGATGATGATGATGCTGATGTTGAACATGATGATGATGATGATGACGGTGATGATGATACTGATGATGATGCTGCTGTTGCTGATGATGATGCTGATGCTGATGCTGTTGATGATGATGATGATGATGATGATGATGATGATAATGATGACGGTGATAATGATGAGGAGGAGGCGGAGGAGGAGGAAGAGGAGGAGGAGGAGGAAGAGGAGGAGGAGGAGGAGGAGGAGGCGCAGGGGGAGGCGGAGGAGGAGGATGACGCTGATGATGATGATGAGGAGGAGGTGGAAGAAGAATAAGAAGACGAATAAGAATACTATTACTAATGATGATAATAATAAGAATATTATTTTTAATAATGATAATAATAATAATGATGATGATGATGATAATAATACTAACAATCATACTAATAGTACTAATCAGAATCATACTTATAATCCTACTAACATGAATAATATTATTAACAACACTAATACTAACACTAATACTACTAACAATAATCATATTACTACTACTACTACTACTAATAATACTATTAATACCAATCATACTAATACTAATAATAATAGTAATATTAATAATTATAACAATAATAATAATGCTGCTAATAGTATTAATATTAATAATAATAATAATATTACTAATAATAATAATATTAATACTAATACTAATACTACTACTACTACTAATAATAATATTAATCATAATATCAATAATAATAATATCAATACTACTAATACTAACACATACTACTACTACTACTACTACTACTACTACTACTACTACTACTACTACTACTACTACTACTACTACTACTACTAGTAATACTAATATTATTAATAATTCTACTAATAATACAACTAATGCTACTAATAATAAGAAAATAAGAAGAAGGACGAGGAGGAGTTGGATGAGGAGGAGGAGGAGGAGGAGGAGGAGGAGGAGGAGGAGGAGGGAGGAGGAGTAAGACGAGGCGAAGAGGGACGAAATGGCGGATGAGGAGGAGGAGGAGGGGGAGGAGGCGGAGGAGGAGGAGGAGGAGGAGGCGGAGGATGAGGAGGCGAGGATGAGGCGGCGGAGCGCAGGAGGTGGAGGCGGAGGCGGAGTAGAACAGTCGAACGCCGTAGGGCCCGAAGTAATGGGTAATGCATAACAGCAACAGAGGAGGACGAGGAGGAGGGGAGGAGGAGGAGGAGGAGGAGGAGGAGGAGGAGGAGGAGGGGGAGGAGGGGGAGCAGGAGGAGGAGGAGGAGGAGGAGGAGGAGGAGGAATAGGAGGAGGAGGGAGGAGGAGGAGGAGGCGGGAGGATGAGGAGGAGGAGGAGGAGGAGGATGGAGGAGGGGAGGGGAGTAAGAGGAGCAGGAGGAGGAGGAGGAGGAGGAGGAGAACGAGGAGGAGGATGAGGAGCAGGAGGAGTTGGACGAGGAGTACAATCGAGGGACAGACAAGTGGATCAGCACACACTTTCAGAGGTCCGCGCGGATGTCTTGGGTCGGCGCTGGAGGCGCTGGGGTGGGTGGGTGTCCAGCGCCGACCCAAGAAATCCGCGCTGCCTTCCGAACATTTATGGGCATGTTGTTTTTCTGATTCTCTACAAGTCTGGTTGAAAGAAATGCGACGCCGCCTGGTGGCTTTTGACGGTGCGCCATTCTTGAGCGGCTTTTGCGCAGTTGAACGGCGCATTTGGGCATTCCTTGTTGAGCAGCCCCTTCGAAGTTGACAGGCGGTCTGGGCTCTTGGCTTGATGCCTCCCCACCCGCGGGCCCCGATGCGCCAGCTTTAACTCTGGAGGGCGGGGGCAAGCTGCCCGCGGCGCGACTCTCAATCTTGTGCCGTTAGTCGCAACCAAACTTTTGGGAGGAGGGGGCATGGGGGAGGGGCCTCGCTCTGCGGAGGCTGGAGGCTGCGCGCCCCGCGTCGGTCTGCCGAGGTGGTGTGCATCACCGATTTTGTGGACGTCTGCGAGAGTTGGCCAGATCAGGCCGATCCTGCGGGCCAGTGCCGTTTCGCACGAGCTCGTGGTCGTGGTCGTGGTCGTGGTCTGGGTCGTGGTCGTGGTCGTGGTCGTGGTCGTCGTCGTCGTCGTCGTCGTCGTCCTTCTCCTCTCTATCGTCATCTTCTGTCTCGGTAATAAATCATGGGAGCCTTGTGTGTCCTTTACTTCCGTCCCTAGAGTGTTTTAGCGTTCGCTAGGCTTTCTGGTAATCGACGAGACAGCGCCGACTTAGCGTCGATGGGTGTCGATTTAGCATCGATCAGCGTCCATTGCGCGGCGTCGGCACGCGCCGATTCGCAGGAGCCAGCAGGCTGGCATGGGAGGCTCTATGGGTTGCCACTGATTTTAACAAACGAGCTGACACATCCCGCGCTCTTGCAGACATCCCACCCACCCACCCGCAACTTGGTTTGCAAAACCCACGACGACGACGATGACGACGCCGATGACGACAGCGACGACACCGACGACGACGACGACGACGTCAACGACGCCGACGACAAACTCTATCGTCATCTTCTGTCCCCCTTGTCGTCCTGCTCGCTCTCCTCCTGCCCATCCCCCCGGTCGTCGTGCTCCCCGCCCGCTGCACCCTCGGGCGCCGGGCTGGAGAGCCGCCCCCGGCCGCGACGCCGACGACGGGGAGGGCCGATCCGATTGCCATCCCGCCGTCGCCACCAGAGCCTCGGGCCGGGCGAAAGGGGGGGATTGGGAAAAGGCCTGGCCCTCCTCCTCCTCCTCCTCCTCCTCCTCCTCCTCCTCCCTCCCTCCTCCTCCTCCTCCCTACTCTCTCCTCCTCTCTCCTTCCTCCTCCTTTTCCTCCTCCTCCCCCTCCTCCTCCTCCTCCTCCTCCTCTCCTCCTCTCCTCCTCCTCTCCTCCATGGGGGTGATCCGGAGATCGGGCCGGACGAAAGGGGGGGTGTGGGAAAGGGGGGGTTACGAAATCTGCTGCATGCAGCTGGTTTCGGCCCCGCCGCCGGGCCCATTGGTCGATACATAGGCGCCTCCGGCGCCGGGAGGCGCCGGGAAAATCAACTACGTGAGCTGATTCTCAAACCCCCCCTTTGCTATCCCCCCCTTGCGCCCGGCCCGAACCAGAGCCGCCGCCCCCCCCCCCGGCCATGTCTGTCACGCGTACCACTGTCGCCACCAGCGCTGCAGCCGCCGCCACGACGATGCCGACGGTAAGAAGTGCAGTGACGAGGATCGTGCTGGTGCAGATGATGCTGATGAGGATGATGGCGATGATAATGATGATGATGATGATGCTGATGTTGATGATGATGATGATGATGATGATGAGGATGATGATGCTGATGCTGATGCTGATGCTGATTATGATGATGATGCTGCTGCTGCTGATGATGATGCTGGTGCTGATGCTGATGCTGATGCTGATGCTGATGTCTGTGCTGATGATGATGATGATGCTGATGCTGATGCTGATGCTGATGCCTGTGCTGATGATGCTGCTGATGATGATAATGATGATGATGGGAATGAGGCTGATGATACTGTTGTTGTCGATGAGGATGCTGATGATGCTGATGATGATGCTGCAGATGATGATGCTGATGGGAATGATGATGATGATGATACGGCCGTTGATGATGATGCTGATGATGGTGATGATGACGCTGATGCTGATGCTGATGCTGATAATGATTATGTTTATGATGATGCTGATGATGATGATGCAGGTTCTGATGATGCTGCTGATGCTGATGATGCTGATCATGATATTGTTGTTGTTATTGTTGGTGTGTGTGTGGTGGTGGCAATGATGATGGTGGTGGTGGTGATGATGATTAGGATTCTGATTATGATGATGCTGGTAATGCTGATGATGATGAGGATGATGATGCGCTGCTGCTGCTGATGATGATGATGATGCTGATGCTGATGCTGATGCTGATGCTGATGCTGCTGATGATGATGCTGACGATGATGACGATGATGCTGATGATGCTGCTGCTGCTGCTGCTGCTGATGATGATGATGATGATGATGATGATGATGAGCGCGAGATTGGCAATGGAATCGTGGGTTATGACTGTCATGGCCATGGTCGTGCTGACAGCGACGACGCCCACGGCGAGCGAGATGGCGCTAATGTTGATCATGATGAGTACCGTCGTGGCCACGACGACGATGCCGACGAGTCTGTTAATTAACATATTGGACCCGAATGTTTACCTACGGCGAGCATCCATATGGGTGTCTGCGGCTTCGTTGCCGGTCGACATATTCGGCGAGCAGATCCTCAGCTATACGGACCTGCCAGCTGGACAAGACCAGGCCGCGGCGGCCAGACAATTGACGCAGCGGGGCTGGTCGGATATATACCATGGCCCTTGCTCTCGCCTTCTCTCCCTTCTCCTCACCTCGTCCTCTTCATATATGAGCCCTCTCCTCTTCTCCTTCTTCTCTTCTCCCCTTTCTCCTCCCCTCCCTCTCTCTCTCTCTCTTTTTCTATCTCTCTTTCTCTCTCTCTCTCGTCTGGCACTTAACCTTCCTCTTCGTCCTTCCTGTCCCTTTTTCCTCATTGTCCTCCTCCTTTTACTTGTTGTTCCCTCGTTCTTCCCTCCGCCTCTTTCGCTTCCTCCTCCTCCTTATTCCTACCCCGTCTCACTTTTGCATTTCCTCATCTCTTCATCATCCCTTATGTCCTCCACCTCCACAGCCTCCTCTCCCCAGTCTCGCTCGCTCTTCATGTCCCCCTCTCCCCCATCCTCTTCCTTCCTTTTCCTGTTACCTCGTTCCCACACCTCTCCGCTGCAGTTTACAGTCAACCCGCATAGTAAGGATGGACAACATTCCCAAGGGTACCCTACCCTTGCCCCTTCGGCCCATCCTTGGCCAATTCGTTGGCCAAGCTCGTTCGAAAAACGCTACCGCGGCCCTCCAAGGCCCCCGCATCCTTACCGCGCGTCTTTAGGATCGGGTTGTCTGTACAAGCCCCTCCGTGATCCTACAGGGGAGGTTTCTGGGCGCAGGCCATCTGATCGGGTAAGCAACCTCTGCCCAGGGCCCCTCCCAGGAGTTGGCCCTGCAGCACAGCCCTCCCTTCTTGTCGGGGGTCCGATGCGTCTTTGCCCGATCACTCTTTCCCCACAGGCTACCGCGGCAGCTCTGCGCGTGCCCCTCCCTCGGGGCAGCTCCAGCTCTGCCCAGCGGTCTGGCTGCATCTGCCGCGGCCCCTGCCAACAAAAGACAGACGCCCCGCTCGGAAGCCTCTCCCTCTCGTGGAGGGGCCCCAGCCCGTGCCCAGCCGCTCCCTCTTCCCGAGGGGCAGCTCTGCCCAGGCTCCCCCTGTCGATGCCCGGACGTGACTGTGGCATCGCTCGGACGTGTGCATTTTTCCCTCGGCGAGGGCCATCGAGGAGCATCCTTGACCCATTTGGCGAGGAAAAAATCCACGCACGAAACCGAAAAAAAATAAATAAG